ACAGAACCTATCCCTTGTGACTTCATCATATTGATAACTCAAATGACGTAACTATGCATATAACGTGTCTGTAATAAAAAACTAGGACTCAAAACGTTGCAGTTGATTTGATCAGTCAGGTACGCTATAGTTAAAACGTGCTCTTTTCAGCGCTATCAATGATGGTACAGGACTGTTTTGGTATCGGTGGTGTGGCAGACTGCGAGAGTTGTTATGTTTGAGTTTTTTAAGTTCCGGCCGTGTTACTGTGGTGTGTTAGGTAGGGAATTTACTGTACATTCTACTGTGGTCATGCTGCGGGCAAACTAAGTACAGAGGATCTTTTGGTACTCCTTAAAGAGCAGGGATGAGGACCCTGGGTCCTCCACCAATAAAGAAACTATCCCCTGTGAGGATCTAGTAGCTAAATTGACCCCGCACATCCTCCCAACATCATAAATGGATTATAAGCCACGGGGTGTCTGAACCCGACTGCCAGTGGAAACAATGGGAGCAGACGACAGACAGTGATTTGCATATTAACTGACGTTTGAAGTTTTGAAAAATGTTGTTTTTCAACAAAACATTGCCATACAAGGAATGACACAGACAGTTGCAGCAAACCTAAACACAATCCATGTAACATTTACTTGGCAGTCGTTATACACGATAAGGGCCTACAGTTTCCAATTTGAACAATTCCAGCTGAGATGAGCCTCTGTCAAGCTTCCATGTTTGTTTCAAAAACTTATATCTGTAATCACAAATTGCATGTCTTATCCACAGCCAAACTAGATTTCTATTGATATGATAGTTGTATGTTAACAAATATACAATGTAGAAACATGTAGAAACACATTTGGCGGCTTCTTGCATTATATTAGAATCCAAGTCTGAAATGCTGAATAGATGAAGTCCCAGTTTACCAGGATTGGCATAGTACATGCCTGTGTAGTTATTAGTCTATATTCTTGTTGTTTAGTAAAATATTATATGTACTTTTCATGTACATATCCATGTCTCCACATAATGTTGAAGAGGTGTACTTGGTATACTATCTCAGCCTAGCTCTCCCCATGTGTTCACCACGGCTGCCAGTTGCAGAATGAGCTGTGAGAGTTTACAGTACCCGAATTTATTGGGTGGTTTTATAGTCCAACCTTCCTCTTTAACACGACTTTCCCCACTAGACTCAAGTGAAAATGAGTATTGTCTGTCCTCTATTTTGTTCTTTGTGTGGGACACAGCACCAGCAACAGCTGCCTTTGTCCCATGTGTATTGCACTGTTGCAATTTCAATAAATCGAATCCAATCAAATAGTATAGAACATGTCATCATGATAGAAGGCTACTGTCCTTGGTGCTGAACTACTGTAGTACCTCACTTATTTGAGCTCATTGGCCTTGGAATTTGGATACATAAATTCTTATGTTGTAGCTCACTGAAAATTTGTATATTTCTCTCGTAGTTTTGTGATAAAAATGCTTGAAAATTTTATCTATTATCATGTAAAATAAATTACTCCTACTAAGTGTAGTACAGAACATGTTATGATGCAAGGCTACTGTCCTTGGTGCTGAATTCTGGTGACTGCTTTCTTTTCAACTTGGCCTTGAAAACAGAAAGCCTTATCCAAATAGTTGATTTTTTCCTTGTCATTATTTATGTTTTTATTAAATATCTTGCCTGATGAAAGTCAACTTTATATAATATTTCCTTAATGTACATGTAGTTTTATGATGAAATGTTTCAAAATGTTGATTTGTTATCATGTAGGATATGTTACTGTTAAGTACATGTACTACATTATGTACTACAAGGCTCTTTATAGCCTTAGGTATATACATAAAGCCTTACATATAGCTGACTGATAGTTGTCATTTGTTATATTTTTATGAAACATCCTGTCTGCTACCTGCTGACAGGTATTCCTGCGTGCCATGGAGCGTCCTGTAGAAAACCCGGTCGGACCTCTTGTGGCAGTCGCTCGCATCGTTCCAGACTACCACAACTACAAGTAAGAGCTTCTTTTTCATGCTCCATTGTAGACTTCAAGGTCAATCTCTGCCTTTTTATGCAATCCAAGTTAGCCCCCAGTTTTTATATCATGGGATATAAATTTTCCTTATGCAATAGAGTCAAAATTCTGCCTTTTTTGCAATATGGCCACACCAATTTAATTTGTTGGTTCTCAGATTCGCCTCTTCATTTTTTTCTGATTTGAAAAAAAGATTCTGGTTCAGGATCAACTAAAAATGCTCATATTTTGCCCCCAAAGTCCTTTTCTTCCTAGTTCCTAGGTATGATTAAAAGTTAAAAATTCATTGTTTAAACATTAACCCAGCTTTTTGTGTTGACTTCATGGCTCCTATCGTAGCATTTGGAGCTATCATAGGATGCCTAGACCTGTTTTTATTTTTATTTTTTTTTGCCCTGTCGCTTCATATTTTTTATGAAAAGATCTGAGAATCAACAAATTAAATTGGTGTGGCCTAAGGGTAAAAAGTGTGTTTTGTTTCTATGACATCGCCCTAATGTTTTAATTCTACTCGCTCCCATAGAGAGGATGTTCTGATGGCGTCACCTCGGTCTGCCAATGTGACCTTGATGACCGTGACCTTCCCCTCCCCTCACCCGTCTTCCTTCATCGTCCCTCAGCACCAGAAGGGAGGATATCCGCAGGTACGTGTGGTCCCTGGACATTCCTGTTGTACAATTTGTACAATATTTTAGCTTCATTCTAATGAATATCAATGACATTGACTTTTCATCCTGTTTCAACTACTTGTTATTCATCCAGCATTGTTGGCTGTCAGTTGTAGTACTAATAATAGTATAATAATAAGTGTGTAATAACAATAAGTGGTACATGTACAGTAGTAAGTACCAGTAGTAGTAGTAGCAGTTACTGCAGTTACTAGTAGTAGTTAAATGGTTTTATTTACAAGTTACAGTTACGCTTACAAAACACTTGGTAGCAGCCCTTATGTTGAATTGGGGTTGCACAACTACCGGTAGTAGTAATAACATTTGAGTTGAATTAGAAAAACAGTTTGTCAGACCATAACAATATACATGATGTATTACATCTAAAATAGCAGTCATACAGATTGGGAGGTAACAAAGGACATTTAAAATCTGACAATATAACACAGGTGCAGTGAGGTATCTATTGTGCATTCTGTGATTATTGATGAAGAAAGCAAGTCATGAATGGGAGAGCATCAGTCTTGTACTGTTCAGTTTTACAATTTGCTGTGAGTCCAAATTGAACAGTCTCCTGTCCTTTGTCTGTTCCCAGGTGAGCCTAGCAGCCCGTCCTGATGAGCAGCCAGTCTGGAACCACTCCTACCTGTTCCACCACAGCAGAGACAATGCTACCATCTTCTCACCTACATCTGCACTGGTCATCGAGTACTACCCTGCATCTTCAGGTACAACCCTTACCTTAAATCTAACCTTAACTCAGAACTATACAACCATCTTCTCACCTACATCTGCACTGGTCATCGAGTACTACCCTGCATCTTCAGGTACAACCCTTACCTTAAATCTAACCTTAACTCAGAACTATACAACCATCTTCTCACCTACATCTGCACTGGTCATCGAGTACTACCCTGCATCTTCAGGTACAACCCTTACCTTAAATCTAACCTTAACTCAGAACTATACAACCATCTTCTCACCTACATCTGCACTGGTCATCGAGTACTATCCTGCCTCTTCAGGTAATGATATACAACATATACAGTGTATAGCCCTTACCTTAACTTTAATCTTAAACCAGAACAATACAACCTTCTTCTCACCTACATCTGCACTGGTCATCGAGTACTACCCTGCCTCTTCAGGTAAGGACAGGCAAAATGTACAACTCTAACCTTAACTCTATCCTTAACCCACAACAATACATACCGGTACATCTTCTCCCCTACATGTACCTCTGCACTAATTATAGAAAGCACTATCCAACATCATCAAATGGCAACATTTTGGAGCATACAGTCACTGTTGTATTTTCAATGTTCTGCCTTACTGGTATTTCAATTAGTCTTGTCTTTTATATCCTGTTGCTTCCATTGCTTTCTTTCCACTTGACTCTCCTTCTCTTACTTCTTTCTGTTTTTCCTCGTTTCCTTTCATCCATCCATCCATCCATCCATCCATCCATCATCCATCCTCGTTGTTTCCTTTCATCCATCCATCCATCCATCCATCTATCCATCCATCCATCCATCCATCCATCCATCCATCCATCCATCCATCCATCATCCATCCTCGTTGTTTCCTTTCATCCATCCATCCATCCATCCATCTATCCATCCATCCATCCATCCATCCATCCATCCATCCATCCATCCATCCATCCATCCATCCATAAGCTTCATTCCCTCAGTGCTCCTCTCAACCGTTTGTATTACAGTAGGCCGCTAACATTATAGAAAGTTGATGACTCTCTCCATACTCCTGCCCAGTTGTGAGTGAGTCGAGTTGGCACATGCGCAGCCCTATAGGTTTCTCCTCCATACTGCTGGACCAGGATGTGTACCATGCCCTGACATCAGAGCCGGGGAGGCTGGGTGTGCGCGTGGACGGTCTTCTCATACAGGTCTGTATATCATCATCCATATTGATGAGTGTGTATACAGGCTGCAGTTAACTTGTATAAAAGTATAATGATTAATTCGTAAAAAGGCTCCAAAAATGAACAGGTAGTTTGATGTTACAGTAATATCCAGAATTTTCCTAAAAATTTGCAGACAAGACAATAGTAGCATGGCAATGTAGAAGGTTAATACCATAGTTGAAGTTGAATGTAGGTTGTTAAAATGTACAAAGTGTAAAAAGGAGACATCCTGTAAGGAAATGTTTTGTCTAACAGGGCCATGACTTTCAGAAAGTTTTAATCTACATGACTTGTATGTACAGCACAAATATGTTCAAGTGATGACAGTAATGAGGAAATACAGGTACTGACCTGCTGCTAGATGACGTGCTTTCCAGCACCCCTGGGGCGACTGTGCTGGATCTTCAGTCAGAATCCGGCTTTCACGGGCGTTTCGTCCCTTGTTTCTGATACGCCTCAGGCCGGCGGGACGACAGGATGGACGTCTCCGCCCTGCCTCCAACACAGTCGTCTCTGCTCTTCCAACTTCTAGTCTTCCTTTTAATCCATAGGGAGAAACTGCTCTTCTCTGCTTCTTCTGCCACTGATCGAACAAACTGGGTCTGGGCTTTACCCCTAATCTGAAAGTCTCTGCATAGGCGCATCAGGGAGGTCCCTACAAAGCCACGAACTCCCACCTCCACTGGGTAGAGGTGGGTCCTCCAACCGTTCTGTCTGCACTCGTACTTCAACTTCTTCCTCTCATGTGCACTTTGGATGTTCTCTTCCCACGGTATGGTCAGTTCCACTATGGCAACTGTCTTCTGATCTGCTGACCACATAACAAGGTCGGGTCTTAGAGATGTCACGCATATGTCTTCTGGGAAGCGTAGTTGACTGTCTAAGTCTGCCAGAAGCTTCCACTTCCCTCGGCTGAGTGGGCCACCACCAACGTTGTTACTTCTGGGGGCTGCTTCCTTCGGCCTCTGCCCTCCTCTCACGAACTGAATGGGCTGCCATGATGTTTCCGTTCCTGCAGATTCCCTTCTTACATTTTCCAGGGTTATAGCAATCTGTCTGAGGGCTCTGTTGTGCCTCCAGGTGTATCTCCCCTGCTGGAGTGCGATCTTACAACTTGACAGGATGTGCTTAAGGTCTGCTCGTTCCATGCCACACAGCAGGCAGGTTTCTTCATTCTTAAACCATCTTGTGACGTTCTGGGGTGTGGGGAGAACATCATATACGGCTCGTAAGAGGAAACTCAGACGGAAGTTCTGCATACCCCATAAGTCGTTCCACGTTAACTTCCTTCCTACAGCACCTTCCCAATTCACCCACGCTCCCTGTTGACGCTGGCCCACTGCAACTACTCTCCTCTTTTCCTCCTCCATCCTTCTCACTTCTTGAGTTACAAGTTGCCTTCTCTCACTGGGGTTGGCACTTGACCACCTGTGTAGCCTCTCTCCCCAGCCAAGTCCTGATCTTCCCACCTGTACTGCACCCACTAGATCTTTGTGGTGTAGTCTGTTTACCGCCTGACTGATGACATCTTTAGCTTTCCACTTCCTCCCAGTACAGATATTCTTGGTTACAGCTCTGACTGATGAGTCACGTGACCCCTCCAGTTCAAGGACAAGTCGAACTTTCTCCACCTTGTATTCCTCTGTGATGGAAGATAATGGCAGACTCAGCATGTTGTTGCCGTACAGTGCGACAGTAGACAAACATCTAGGTACACCAAGCCATCGGCGGATGTAGGTGTTGGCCTTCCTATCAATTTGATCAACAACTGACAAGGAGATGTTGTAGGTTTTGAGAGGCCACTTAAGTCTTGGGAACAGCATGAACTGTGCACACCAGACCTTGAGCCTTCCTGGGAGTTCACACTCATCTATGCTTCTGAGGCCTCTGACAGCTTGTTCCACCGTTTCTGGCCCTCTCTCGCTGTCCTTCAGACTGCTTGTGTACAATCGTCCCAGGCTCTTCACTGGTTGTTCCTGTAGGGTCGGGATGATTTGGTCATTGACAGTGAAAGTTTTGTTGCTGATTTTCCCTTTCCTTAAAGACAGGCTTCTTGATTTGGCTGGTTTGAACTTCATCCCAGCCCACTTTGACAGTTCTTCAAGTCTTTGGAGCAATCGTTTGGTGCATGGTGCTGTGCGAAGGATGCTCGTGACATCATCCATGAAGGCTCTTAAGGGTGGCATCTTCTCACCTGAGGGTGCTCTCACTCCTCCTACGACTTGTTTCGCACCTAGGAGCAGAATTTCGAAACCCATAGTGTATATTTAAAAGAATGTAAGTTTAAAATTACAGATACAATGTCATTGAGTATTCTTCTTTTAGTAATACATGACTTCAATCAGGACACAGGATTTTTGTTTAGCTGTTCAATTTTACTTCACTTCTTCTTTACTATGCTTTTTGCTATAGATGACTTTGCAACAAAGACAGTCACTGTCATGATACACACACAGGTGTGTATTTATGACTGATCAAAGTTTTTTCTTCTGAATCAACACCTCAGCTTCTTCTTTGTCACTCTTACTGTAGATCTCTTCTCATCTTTTCTCATCTCCAGAGGTTCTTTAACAGGTAAGCCTTTGCTGTCTCTCCTTGCATGGGTTACACTTTAAGTACCAAGAAATTTTGGCTGTGCTAGAAAGTTCACTTGTAAAGTGAGTGATCATTATGTAAAGGATCATACATGTACATGTAATGTTTAAAAGGCTTAGTGCTCAAAGTTGTTAAGAGTCATTGCATGAGAAAACCAGGCAAAATCAATGGAAGGTCGGAAGATGGGGGTCGGCCAAATCCGCTCAAATTTTGTACATAGGATAGGTATGGGGAACTATCACCAGCCATATGATTAAAACCCTCCAGCTCTTTTTTGTTATGGAGTTCTGGAACCCCCCATGGAGACCCTTAAATAATTGGAGAATTTTGCCTGGAAATTCACGAAATTCGGATCGCTCTCTCCAGAGTTCTATTATAGATGCTGATATATGATTTTGATTTTTACATTTCTTCATCTATCTAGTTTAACCAGACGAAATTTGAAGCTCTGGCATTGAACTTTAAAGGGTATGCTTGGGGGTTATCAGGACCATTGAAAGCAGACTTGGAACTTTTTTGAATATTAGTCATTTTTAAAGGGCCATTTGTCACACTATCTGCATTTGTTTGGATTGGTTTTGATTTTTCTGAATAGAGGAACATCTATTCATTAAGAAACAATCGTCGTTTATTTGGGATCTAAATATTGTGAGTCGTGGGAAGAGGCTAATTATGGGGTATTTTAGCCTCTGAAAAACAATAAATCAAGCAATTTCGCTAGCCTAATTCAAAAGGAATTGACTAGAATATTGTCTTTTTGAATCAGAAGTATGCAGGGGCATGATGACTCCTAAAATAAATGCAAAGGAAGTGATAAAGGCTCTGTATGGGGGTTCTGAGTATACTTCAAAGAGATTTAACTGATTTATCATGTGAATAATGCTAATTGTCCCACTTCACGTTAGTGGATTATTACTAACTTGCAGTTTGTGCATAGAAAAATAGTTATGAATAATTTGGGCTCTGCATGGGGTTTAATGGGACACCTTTCACCTACTTTTTCCTTTATAAGTGTGTATTTTTTTACATTATACATTATACTAACTACCACGCCCTCCATAAGCTGTTACCGTAAACCCTATACACAAGCGTTACTAACTTGTAGTCTGTGTAGACAAATGGGTTCACAATACCTTTTGGCTCGGCATATGCGTTAGCATTTATATTAGTATATCAATGAGTGTAAAGTTACAATGTGCAAACACCAAAATACGCAAGAAATGAACAAGCAAACTGATAATTTAGCATGGCTCCTATTAGCCCCACAGTCATTTGGGGTAGAATCCGATATCGTGGGACCCTCCCGGGTGAAAGGCTGGGCAACCGGACGGTCAATGTCAGACAAATTGAAGACCTATCTGAATTACATTTCAACCAGGGAGCTACATGTAGGTTCGGGCCCGAAAGCTGGTGTTGTACAAGTGGCTCAGGAGATGTCAGGCTGATGGGAAGCTGTTCTAGACTGATCGGCCGTTGTTCTAGCCAATTTAGTGGCGCACAGGCAAGCAGTGACAAACCATTTTGGTGAACTGTCGGCATCAGAGACAGCAGGAAACACAGAATGTGTGGCCACTGACATAAATAGGTGATGAAAAAGGAATGCGAGTGGCACTTATTACAGTAAAAGACAGTGTAAACTAGCATTCACTACAGTCAGCGGTTATAGTGAAAGACACCGATTGTAATCTCGTGCGAAATAGCAACAAACAAAGGCCTCAAATCATAAAGATGAATGAACTAAGGCTCATAGCAGACCATTTCCATCTGCGCGTTACAGACTCGATGATGAGGAAAGTTATTTACATACAGGAATACGGGACCATCCTAGAGCTGGCACACAGACATGTGTAAATTGATTTTTGTATTTTGTAGTTTTGTTCCATAATGTGTACCAAAGTGTAAAAAATATTATATGACAGTTTTTATACAATTTGTCAAGTTTAGGCATGAAAAGTATTTGTTACCAATTACAGTAATAGTAAAACTGAAATGTCATTTTTATCATCATTCATTTCAACAGTTTTCAAAAGTACAGCTACATGCAATTATCCTATGATTGCATCTTTGCCGTGACCTTATTATGGTCTTGTTTCTAGCTAGATAATGCCTACATGCTCTGTAGCCATTTAGCCAGGGTACAATGTATCACATGGTACCACATTTTGAAGGCCTGATAACTCCAATGTCCTCCAAACATAGCATTTTTATTATGTGCAACATAGTAGATATAAGGAAGTGATTCAGTAATTTATCTAGTTAATGACATATTAGAGAGCCCAAACACATGCATTTTAATCTAAAAGATTGCATGACAAATGCCAGTGCAAATATCCGTTGAAGAAAGCTAAATATCTAGCTATGTGAGTTTAGAAGAGTTATCAGTGCAAGACAGGTGGAAACAAGTTGGGCAGAAACTTGTTCTGGTGTGCTACTTGTGTTTTTGTGCGTGTCAAATTGTATACACGTGTATAATGTAAAAAATGACACACTTATAAAGGAAGCAAAGTATGTGAAATGTGTCCCATTAACCCCACTGCAGAGCCCAAATTATTCGTAACTATTTTTCTATGCACAAACGGCAAGTTAGTAATAATCCACTAATGTGAAGTGGGGCAATTAGCATCTTTCACATAATAAATCAGTTAAATCTAAAAGACAATATTCTAGTCAATACCTTTTGAATTAGGCTAGCGAAATTGCTTGATTTATTGTTTTCAGAGGCTAAAATACCCCATAATTAGCCTCTTCCCACGACTCACAATATTTAGATCCCAAATAAACGACGATTGTTTCTTAATGAATAGCTAATGAAGGGCGTGGTAGTTAGTACCATTCAGATGCAAAGTCAAATTTCAAGTATTTTACAAACCCCATGCAGAGTCTATATCACTTTCTTTGCATTTATCGCTTTCACCAAGAATGTTATATTTTCGGTGGCGTTCGTTTGTGTCTGTACGTGTGTGTGTCAAAACGATACTTTGAGAAGGATAATGGTATTTGATAAGAGGGTAATGATGAGACCTCAAAAGTATTAGATTTGGCCCCCCTGGCAGCTTGTTAAGGTACTGTAGTGAGATTTTCAGTTTGATATGTCATGATCTGTACATGCCAGTATCAGTAAATGGCTCCTCTGAAAAAGTGAAGCTGTGGGTCCTATAGCAGATTTTTTTGAACTGCAAACTTGTGACGTGTGTATAAGAATGAGAGGAACATCGTCATATATCAATTATGAAAATGAAGACTTAATTTGCAAAATTAATGAAAATGGTAGTGCCTGTGGTTTATGTTGGTACTTTAATACTTGCGGCATTTATAAGTTTATTGAAGTTGGATAACGGAAAACATAACTTATTCAAATGTGGATCTCATTGGCATAATTCATAAGGAAATGCTAGAATGTCAAACATTTATAATTAGCAAGCCGTTAGGTTAATATTATCTGGCGAAGGTAGGAGATAAGGAACTTTTTTCAGTAGTCATCATGTCCCTAAAGATTTCTGATCCAGCAGTAAAGCTTGTTCTGGTGTGCTACTTGTGTTTTTGGTGTGTGCCAAAAAAATTGTATACACATGTATAATGTAAAAAAATACACACCTATAAAGGAAAAAGTAGGTGAAAGGTGTCCCATTAAACCCCATGCAGAGCCCAAATTATTCATAACTATTTTCTATGCACAAACTGCAAGTTAGTAATAATCCACTAACGTGAAGTGGGACAATTAGCATTATTCACATGATAAATCAGTTAAATCTCTTTGAAGTATACTCAGAACCCCCATACAGAGCCTTTATCACTTCCTTTGCATTTATTTTAGGAGTCATCATGCCCTTGCATACTTCTGATTAAAAAAGACAATATTCTAGTCAATTCCTTTTGAATTAGGCTAGCGAAATTGCTTGATTTATTGTTTTTCAGAGGCTAAAATACCCCATAATTAGCCTCTTCCCACGACTCACAATATTTAGATCCCAAATAAACGACGATTGTTTCTTAATGAATAGATGTTCCTCTATTCAGAAAAATCAAAACCAATCCAAACAAATGCAGATAGTGTGACAAATGGCCCTTTAAAAATGACTAATATTCAAAAAAGTTCCAAGTCTGCTTTCAATGGTCCTGATAACCCCCAAGCATACCCTTTAAAGTTCAATGCCAGAGCTTCAAATTTCGTCTGGTTAGACTAGATAGATGAAGAAATGTAAAAATCAAAATCATATATCAGCATCTATAATAGAACTCTGGAGAGAGCGATCCGAATTTCGTGAATTTCCAGGCAAAAATTCTCCAATTATTAAGGGTCTCCATGGGGGGTTCCAGAACTCCATAACAAAAAAGAGCTGGAGGGTTTTAATCATATGGCTGGTGATAGTTCCCAATACCTATCCTATGTACAAAATATGAGCGGATTTGGCGACCCCCATCTTCCGGCCACTGCCTGGTTTTCTCATGCAATGACTCTTAAATTGAATCTAAAAAAACATACTTCATACTTTTCTTTTTTTTTCTATATCTGTAGGGTACAAATCTGAGGACCCAACCAGGGAGCTTACCTACTGTAGGTGCCATCCTGAGACTAATTACAACAGAGGTAAGATTAATAGTCTAGAGACCAGACGTATGAATGACTTTACAACTCATCACCCATAGCAGCATTATTTACCTCAACCCTTGAGTAACTGTTAATAGAATCTGTTGAAATTCCAGTGTTGTCCCTAGGCACATAGTGTTAAGCTCTGACTATTGCCAGGGAACTAACATATTTGAAAGAAAAGTCAACATGTGAAAGCTACATGTAAGTAACTGTTGGAAAGGTAAGAAAGCTATTAAGTTATGATGCTTTCTCAGATTGCAAGGCCAGCTTTCTGTATATTACTTTTGTCAGAACTGATAAAAAGCTTGAAAATGTAGATTCTAGAAAGCTATGTACTCCATGCAATAGCTTACTAGCCATGTTATGTTGGTAACAAAATCATTTAGAAGTCTTGGGATTAGGTGTAAAGTTCACATTGCCTGTCCTCAATTCATCAGTAGTTAACATAACTAGAATGTGATTGTGCTACTTTACTTTTTGTGCAATTTATCGTTAGGGTCCTTGCCTCCTAACTTACTTCATATAACTCTCCAAGCAGAGGTTGTGGGGGAATGATCGTTACCTTTTTATATATGGCCATTTTTTTGGTCGCTACACCCACCCGTCGATGGCTGTCGATCTTCTCTGGCTAATGGATACTGCCTGGCCAATTTGATACAGTAACTGTCTTTTTGCCACAGAGAGCGATCTGCTTGGAGATTAACTTCATATGACAAGAGGAAATGTTACACCTGAATAAGACTGATTCTACAGAACTTAACAATTGACATTTGAAGTGTATAATGTCCTTGGTTTTGTCAAATCTTCCATCTTCAAATCGTTTACTGTACATCAATCAGCTTTCTAACAGTTTATTAGTTCTGCAGTCATTCTGTGCACAATGAATGGTGGTGTAATACAGTTTTAATTGAATTCTGTCACACTCATGCACTTTTAAGTAGGTTAAATTATTGTCCTGCAATGATCAAACAAATATTGGCACTTTCTTGTTACCAGTTACTCAAATATAAGCCTAACAAATTCTTTTTGTTCAAATTCTGTCTATAGATGTTTGCCAGCCATCACTACATGTACATAATATATGTTGCATATACATGTATTATGCATGTGCACCAGGGCTGATATATTTTGCTTTGTGAAAGTAACATGAGATAAAGATAATTTTGTACATGTCTAGTGTATATTTTTGCTGCCTTTTTTGCTGCCTTTTGCTTCCTACATCATGAAGATCAGATGTGATTGAACTCATCAAATCTGCTCTAGACTAACCCATCAACAACACGTTGGTTGGATGTTTTTCTGGCTGGTAATGCTATACCATGTAGTAATGACTGCTTGGCTGCCTTGAGTGGCTTCATGCCAAAAACACAGACTGAAGCATGGCGAACCATGCAGTCTTCACACCCCACCAATACCTCATGTTACTGCAGCGTCCAGACGGTCTCATCGCCGCGGCCAGTCCGGAACTCCTGCCGTCGCTGGACTCGCTGGTGGACGGCGGTTTCCGCAGACCCATCTCTCCCCAGTTTGTGCCGCCGACGCCTGCAGATGACATGTTTGACGGACTGGATGACGTGGAAACTGGCCCGAGTTGGCGCCGAAAAAACAAACCCAGAAAGGTAAGTAAGGAAAGCATGCTTACATCCAGGATTTTGAATGGGGGGTATAATACTATTGTTGTGCTATAGGCGCAAGGCAAGTGCCGAAGGCGCAAGGTTCCTAGGTGGGTCAGGGGGCATGCTCCCTCGGAAAATTTTGAAAAATGAACCTTCTGAAATGGCATTTTGTGAAATGGTTTTTGAGAGGATTTTAAAGAACGAATCAGAGATGAATTTTATTCAATGACAAAGGGAGCAGTTTTTCTACGATTCCAGTCCATCTTTTAAAGAAAAATCTTGGACCTTAAGATAAAAAAGTGGACCTAAAAGTGGACCTTTGAGCCTTGTGGCTTGTCCAAACCCCATGAACCCCCCCTCGCTACGGGCATGGAAAGTTTCATATGGCCTAAGACTATGGGTAAATACTCAGTCATAGCTGACATACATTTTGTAGTCACAGGTTTGTAGTTCACACTTAAATAAGTTTGCAATACACACACGTCAGTATATACTAGTCTCACTGATATCTTCACCTTTTGTTGCCTTTCTGTAGTAATACTCATCTTCCACTTTAGTTTAGAACTGATTACATTGCAATATAGAAATTTTTTTTTTTAAAAAAGGCCTACAAAATGGGCCTAATGTTTTGTTATACATACATATTGCTATCAGCTTGTGCAATATTATCACAGCAGTATTTGATAGCAGTATGGGAAAACCAATTGGCATAAGTCTAGAAAAATCTTAAGTTTAAAACTGATGACATTGCAATAACCATTATTTTTGGAAAAAAATCGGCCTACAAAATGGGCCTAATGTTTTCATTGTAAGTTTATGCATAGTTTTACATATTGCTATCAGCATGTACAATATCAACACTGTCCCCATAGCAGTATAGGAAAACCACTGAGCACAAGTCTATCTGAAAAGATTGTTGGTGCAAGTTTACACTCAGTCAAGAAGCATGAAAATTTAATACAGTGATTATACATTTATCTGAAACATTTTGATATTTAATAAGTCCTATAGGCTTAATCAGTTACAATTCTTCCGTGTGCTACAGAATAAGTGACCGATTTCATAGTCTCTTTCCTTCAGGTTGTCTGACATTGACCGATGGGTGTGATGACTTGTGTTAGGATCTGTAGATTAGCATGAAGAGTTGTTTGTGTTCCACCCGTACAACAAATTCCATTCTTTCATCTCCCTTTGTTTAAGTTATGCCAAACGTGTGTGCAAGTGGAAATGCCTTAAGCTCTACCCAAAGCCTCAGAGTTCAAAGCAAGGCTTTCTATTTTGATGAAAAGTTAGAGCTGAGTAGACTCAAGTGCTTTTTCAATTATGGGGTCGAAGGTCTTGAGAATTCCGTCGGGAACGTTTGTACCGTCTGACGGTTGCCTGGGAAATGACAAGACGACAAAAGGTGTGTTGACTTTACCTGTCGTCATGGTATGGAGAAACAGGTGTGCTGGCACACCTGGAAACATACCCTGGGGAATTAAAAAAAACATTTTTTGTTCAATGAAAAAGCGGTTGATCCAGTGCTTTAGCCAGCCTGAATTTTTTTCCATCATTTCAATTTTGTTTGACATCTATTTGGCTCTAGGAGTCCAGGAAATCCTAAGGGGTGTCATGTTTCCTCTGAAAAATTTTGAAATCTTGAACCTCTCAAATGCTATTTCCTGCATTCTAAGGGACAAATTTTGCTAGTAGGCTAAGCTATTTTAATGAGTCAGACATCTTTTTCCACATCTTTATAATCCATGCTTTACTTTGTCTGTCAAAGATGGCAGATTGGACAAAAATTTTGTCCCTCATAACTGGTAAAATTCTGTCAAATGACACACTGAAAGACATGCTGGCTACAACACTGATCATATTTTTTCTGTCAAAGTTATGAATAAGTAATGACTTCAAAAGCTTTCTCTAAGTCTATTCTCCTGCCCCAGACAAACACGTACAGGCAGACCCACTACCAAAATAACACCACCCATCCTTGTCAAACAAGCCATACAGAGTTTGTGCTCTTGTACAACACTGATCATATTTTTTCTGTCAAAGATATGAATAATTAATGACTTCAAAAGCTTTCTCTCAGTCTATTCTCCTGCCCCAGACAAACATGCACAGGCAGACCCACTACCAAAATAACACCACCCATCCTTGTCAAACAAGCCATACAGAGTTTGTGCTCTTGTACAACACTGATCATATTTTTTCTGTCAAAGTTATGAATAAGTAATGACTTCAAAAGCTTTCTCTCAGTCTATTCTCCTGCCCCAGACAAACATGCACAGGCAGACCCACTACCAAAATAACACCACCCATCCTTGTCAAACAAGCCATACAGAGTTTGTGCTTTGATAACCATTTGTTGCCGGGTTACCCCGCGCACCGTGTTTGCACTGCACGCCAGCTCTGGCGACCGCGACTGTGACGTGAACAGATGAATACCTGCGTCGGAACACAACACACCCGAGTTAAGAGCCCCAAGTAGCAATGTTTTCCTCTTGTAATCAGATAATTGATATTGATTAGTTTAGTTTGTAGCTGCAGTACCCAATGGCAACGGATTATTACCGGCCATATACCGCCTCCGTGAGTAAATTTCGTTTCTTACCGGGGGAAGTTTTTGGCGTGGAAAGTGGTGTACTTTGTTCTCATGTCAAGCGTGTAATTGGGGGGCTAATGTGGCAATACTTAGATCCTTAATGTATCTTATTGTGAGGGTTATTAACGTGAGAGTATGATGCTTGGCCATGGGAAGAACGTAGACTAAAACTGTGCCCCAATGGCTGTAGACTACTACAGACCCTGGACTTCTTCTGTAAGTATGGTTTGGAAAAATGTGCAATAATCATTGTAATATTTTATTCCTAAATTCGTAACTGAATCTGAGACAGTGGTAAAATCATAAATTCAGGTAATTATAGCAATGATATCAACGTACATGTAAGACAGACTATTTTGTTAATTTTTGAAGGAGGCATTTGTGATAAATGTTTAGTATATATTTCAATGGTATTATTCGCTGGCAGTAGTTTTGACTTAATGTCATCAAAATGATAAATGAGACTGGTAGGCACAGACAACAATACATGAAGCTTAGATTAATTCATGCTGGTTTATAAAGTTCTGAGCTTTAATAATTAATCTTGTAATCATCAACTTATCAAAGGTCAGATGTATGCCGTGAAAGATTTGATGGATACCATGCACATATATAATATTGTTGATAGTATACTAATTCTAGAGGTGGTAATCATTATGTAGTTAGCATTTCTCAAAATTTGTACTTAGTCTAGAATATGTAATCAGCTCTCAATATCAGTTGCAGGCCTCATGCTATCTTTTTCTGCCATTTCCTGCACTTGCAGGCTTTAAGGCAGAGTTGATTCCTGATAATGATGTTTGAGGATTAGTAGTACAGTCTATACTACACACTTTGTGACCTGACAGCCTTTTAGATTATTGTTACATCTTGACAACAGGTCAATTTTGTGAGGCTCTGAAATACATGTACAAATGTACATATGTGGGCTGCAAAACAGTTTCTATCACACAAATCCTGGCATCAGGACAATCTTTCTTCCTTGTGTATTTTCTTTTTAATATGCTATAATTGTTTTAAAAAAGTTCCACTCTTTTAGAGGGGTTTATCTCCAAGCAGATCCTAAGGTGGTGAGGAAGTATCCAATTCACCAAGCAGTCAGTCTATTAGTCCTAAGACTTAGTACTGCTTGGTGAATTGGATACTTCGTAACATTTCAGAAATCAGAAACGATCAAAATGAATAGACATGACTCGTATGGCATATACAAGCTCTCACTCTTACAATATATGTGTATGTATGTATTTTTTGTACCATCATGGTAATCATTATTACCATGAATTTTGGAAAATATGCTTAGGACTTTAAATGATGTAAGCTTAATAATTTCTTAAGACCCTTACAAATGTACCTCCTCCCTCATGACTTCAATGAAAAGCAGCCTACAGGGCAATTTGAGCTTGTCAAGAATAAAGAATGGTTCAAACAAACAAACAAACAAACATGTTTTTCTTCACAGCCGTTGAAGGATGGGGAGTGGCCGGGAATGGACGCGGTACAGGACGTTCTACCGGAGTACATCTCAGAGACGACACAACCCCCGCCGCGCAGGCCTCCCAAGGACGGTCTACGGCAGTCTTACCAACCTGACGACCCCTACTCTCACTCACTACTGGAGCATCAGTCAAAGGTGGGACAGGGATCTGATGAATGTCATTTAAAAGAAAATAATACATTTCAAAGACAAATATTCAAAAACAAATCAAACTCTACTCCTGGATAAATTATGGAGATTATTTCCAGATGTTTTGAGTGACTCGTGCTTCAATAAATGAACTGAAGTTCTCGAGAAAGTATGTATATACTAGAGTTCCCCGATCTCATACCTTCGCCAAATGATGTTAATCTTTATGACTGACAAATTATACATTAGATTATTCCCCCTTGATTTAAATAATAGGAACCTAATTTTCATGAATTATATCATTTTATCATAATCTCAACAAAAGGACAGTCTTATATTAACAAACAATGCATTCTAGTATTTCCTAATAAATTATGCAAATGAGGTCCTGATTTGAATAAATTATGTTTAATGATGTTCACCTCAACATAACTTTCAAATACCACAAGTATGAAATTCCAGGCAGTTATCATTACATAATTATAAAATTTTCTCATTAATTATGCAAATTAAGTCATTAATAACATAATATCTGCCTGTGTTTCTCTCGTTGTCAATTACCAATGTCACAAGCTTCAATTGTCTTATCATGGAATGCGGCTGATTTATAGAATTTCCCCATAAATTATGCAAATTACATCCATATTTGCATAATTGTCACATAATTATATTAAGCATCATGTAAGCTACCTACATACTAAAAATCACGACGATCCGTCAACCGGTTCTTGAGTTATCCCCTTTTGAATATTTTCAAGAATATATCCCTGCAGTTCCAGGGCAAGGCGCTAGGGGGCCCTAACTCACGTCACTTCTTCCTCATCACAAGAGCTACCTACCATCCAAATTTCATCACCATAGCATGTCTAGATCATGAGATATCAAAACCGGAAGTTCAGCTGCAGTACCATAACAAGCCGCTAGGGGGTCCAAAATCTAATCATTTTGAGGTCTCATCAAGACCTACCCACCTACCAAGTATGAAGACAATCCATCAAGGCCTTCTCAAGTTATCGTGTTGACAGACACACACACACACACACACACACACACACACACATACACGAACGCCTCTGAAAACATAACCTTCTTGGCGAAGGTAATAATATGAATGTATTTGAAAGGAACAGCAGACTTGACAGCAAAATGATGAGATTTGTATAGAAAGAAAGAAGATTGAAATTAGGTTTTACAAGTCTGAGGTTGGAGTACTTGCATGAGATAATCGTAAAAACTATCAATATATTAAAAATAATGAACCCATATGGATGTAACTTATGAAAATTACTTTAATTCTTACTGTACATGTACATTCCACAGTGTTTGGGGGACTCCCTTAGTTGGTAGTGCGATAATTCATACTCAGTCACTCTCATAGTTTCAGTTTCAGATGTATTGGAGTGTTAGGGTAATAGCAGACTGATAATCTTCATAGCTGATGATCTATATAGTGTTCAAATAGGAAAATACTGGTAACGTTACATCAAAGAATGTTTATAAATCTTAGTCTATTCTCTGCAGATGACTTTCTTCATACATGTATTTAGTTTTGTTTGATCTTAGCTGTTATCCTGGGTACCAACCAGATGGTACACAGGCTACTTAGTTGTAGTAGACCATACAAATGTCCCAGGCCTGTACTTTTGTCGAGTCAATAGAGAACCATAATTGACTTTGCAACTTAAGGACAACAATCAGGGCTTCATTTCCACCATTCCCCATGCAGGAGCTGGATAACTACCGTGCAGCGCTAAAGCGGATGGGAGCAGACATCCTGAAGCTGAGAGAGGACATCGCTCGCCTGGAGGCAGAGAACAGCCAGCTGAGGAGGAACCTGCACATGAACAGGGACGCTGCCGACGCTCTGGTGGGGCCTGCCGGGCTGCAGGCACTCAGCAGGGGGGATCTCGTGGATAAATATGGTGAGGAGATGATGCTATAGAAAAATTCAGGGTTAATGACCACCAATTGAACCACCGAGTGGGCATAGGGAACGAGAAGTTTAAGAGGTGGTTATAGAAAATGACCATGCAGGCCTTAAGCATGACACCATTGTACACTGAGGAATTAACATGTAGGCGGGTCATTAACGTTATTGTCATATGGCCTATCCACCTTTTGTTGTTTTTTCCATCCTCTATTCCTCCAACTTGTCAGTCCGCATGTATAAATATTATTATAATCTATTTATAATACTTTATAGATGTGTGGGTTTTGAAATGGAAGCATGTCCATCTCCATCACATCTGACAGTTCAGTTTGTAACAGCATGGCCCGGTCACAGATATACAATGCCATAGAGAAATTTTCATCGCAATACTTTTATTTTATCTGATTGAACTTAGTGTAAACATTGAACAATGTAAGATTGTAGCACTGATCTGAAAAGGTTTAATTAAATGCATTTCGTAGATATAGATATTCCCATCTGATTCAGTGTATATTTTTGATTCCCATCCCTTCTAAAATTCTCTGTTATTTGCTTAATTTCTACCACAGTTAGAAAGTTAATGAGTGTTGGTCTTGAAGTTTGATGATTTCCTCTGTCTGCAGCCCTGTTACAGCAGAAGGTGAGCCAACAGGCCTCCTCCATCAAGGGGCAGAAGGAACGGATACAACAGCTGCAGAATGAACTCATCAAGGTACAGAACCCATTTATATTTAATATAAAACACGGCTTTCATAGCATGGTTGGTACATGCCAGGAGTTCTGTTTTGCCTTGAAGTCTTTTAGTTTCCATTTACTGTTAGCTCTAATAGAGCTAAACTTTAAACATTTTTTACCATGTGTATAAGAACAAATATTGGACATATCTGCCATGAATATGTCCAGAACCTTCATATTCTGTAAATGCACTTCCTGTGTTCTTTCCTCTATAATTCCTTCTCTTCTTTGTTTTGCTCTCCTTGATATACATGTATTATAATAATATTAATACTAATAAAAATGCTCCCTCCTTTGTTATCTTCCTTACAAACTTTACACTTGGTTAATCACGTATTTCTAATTTTTGTTTTTGTCCAGAAAAATGACCGTGAGGCAGAGTTGTTAAAGCAGCAGAAAGCCCAGAAGCCCCAGCAGCCTGTCGCACCTAAAGTACCCGAGAACGATGGCAAGAAAAAGAAGATGGAAGATACTATCAAAAGACAAGAGGAGGTAGCAACAACTTTTGAATTTTTTTTTTTCTGATTTTTTTCTGATTTTCTGATTGACTCAGAGTCTATGAAGCAAGTTAAAACTACAATTTCGAACACAAAAAATGGACTTCTGGCATCTACATAATTATTAACATACTGTCACAGAAGCAGTGGATTGCTTATTCCTTGACAAAGACCAAGACTGGGGTTACAGTCGAATATTTGTGGAAGTCTTTTTGTGTTGGAAATTACAGTTTAAACTTGCTTCACATTATAACTTATACCAACACAGATAGAGTTTGATCAGAACTTTCAAGATACATGTAAGTGTTAGTTGCTAAATTTAAATTGAGAATTACATGTACTACATAACATGTGCATAATCATGATTTAAGTATTAAAGTATTCCCTACTACGGTATTGAATCTGACATAGCCTCATGTTTGTTTAACCTTTCTCTACAGGTTATAGAGAAGATGGAAAAGCTTCTGAATAAACAGTTAGAGAAGGGAACTCTGCCAGCAGACAGGAGCCTGGAGGCACATTCTGCACTGGCTGCAGAGAACGCACGACTCAGGGATGAACTCAACAGAGCTAAGGTACAACATAGCTTCATGAATGGATTCAATAAATAAGTTGTCACGCACCACCGAAAATGAAAAAAATCTGAAGATTTTCTGGAAAATCGGAAGATTGTTTCAAAGAACCTGAAGATTTTTTTCAAAGAATCTGAAGATTTTTCCAAAGAATCTGAAGATTTTTCCAAAAAATCTGAAGATTTTTCCAAAGAATCTGAAGATGTTCTCAAAGAATCTGAACAGAAGATTTTTTCAAATAATCTGAAGATTGTTCTGAGATTGGTTTGAAACATTGTGATCTTAAAATGTTGGAAACTTAGATATTTATTATAATATAATATAATATATAGAAATTAATCAGAATGGTTTTATTACTGTGTAAGGTTTGACTTATATTTAATTGTGTGATATCCCTCACAAGAAAGAAAAAAAAACAATCTATCAAAATTGCACACACACACACACACACACACACACACACAAACATATACTTTTTTAAATCATAAAAGTCTTGTAAAGGTATTTTTCTGTGTAAGCAATCTTTCATCCATGCAAACATGAAGGAACAAGTGTATAGAGGGTTGTCATATAGTGTAAGTGCATTTTGCCCCATGTTCCCAGGAGCCAGCCCAGCCTCACTACCCTCCTGGTGTGAAGATGGATGATGAGGAGAGGCTGGACCTGATGGCAAAACTGGAGAAGGCAGAGGGGAGAATCATTTCACTGGAGAACCAGGTACAGGGTTTCTCAATATAGGGGAGAATCATTTCACTGGAGAACCAGGTACGGGGAGTCTCAATCTAGGGATAGATCATATCACTGGAGAACCAAATTTCTTCCTGCTCAGATTTTGCTCAGCACGATATTGGATTCAGAATTAAATGTTTTATGTGTAGCTTAAAGTGAATGCTTAGGTTTTATACCTGGCCTAATTCAAATATTGCTTAGTCAGTAAGTGTTGTTTTGAGTTTTCAGGTTTGTTATCTCAGAATAGTAAGAAAGCAATAACTTCAAGTATCATGATCATTACTAACAATCATTTATCACCATGCAAACGTATCTGTTTGCTTCTGTACTTGTGCACAATTTTCACAATCATTTACTATTTTTCCACTGTCCAGTTGACAGAAAATGCCCGCATGTGGGGTCGGGAGAAGCAGGAGCTTCTGATCCGGATGAACGAGCGGGAGAACGGTTTTGCGCGGTCGTCACAGATGGTCCTTCACGACTTCCCCATGTCCATGGTGAGATAGGTTTAAGTTTGAGATATTCTCCATGAAGCTTGTTTTTATCCTGCATCTAAGGCATTCTCAATACAATTATCATCAGCCAAGTTTAATGCCAAACCTTTTTGAATTCTATGTTTTTATCCTCTCTGTTATATGTGGAGAGGATAAAAACAAGGGTAACCTATCATAAGGTTGTCATGTTTTTGTTCAACTTATACATATACTTGGTGGAAAATCCTATCAAATCTACTATAAATTATAATACAAGAAGGTGATTATGTGACCTGGAGCTTTGTTCAGACCATTGCATCAGCTATGCTGATATTATTAATTAAATGAAGATTGAAGGACAAAAGGGTGTTGACAAGTGTGATAATGATAAATATGCCCTTCAAACTAAAGTGTACATCCATGAATATTGCTTGAAATATTTGTTGAAATATGGATGGTTTATATTTCTGCAAATCAGACATTTTATACACTGAAACTTAAAGGCTTTTCTAATTTTCTTGCAGGGAGCGACAGTTAATGGCAGACTGGGATCACCAAAGTTGGATCCAATTAAATAATGACAAACATCCAAATAACTGTAGCTTCTCTAAAAAGTTGAAATTCCCATAAAATTATTTTACTTACTGTCTTCGTATGAATGAAAAGTATATGTCTATAAAATGTGTATGTCCCTGTATTTAGATAGTATATGCAAAATTAATGTTCCCAAGCTACAACTAGCAATTATGCAACTCATCAGTGATGTTAATATAAAATGTAAAATGTTATAATAGATATGATTAATGGCAGGGATGAAACAAACATGTTATGAAAAGTTGTGTACAGAATTCTGCCATTAGAGCATGTGTTGCAAGATAACATATCATTCCAATGTATATTATTATGGAATAAATAATATGAGTTCTCCTCAAGCAAATATACATAATATTGTACAGATACATGTTTGTATGTTACAAAGAATTTAAAAACTCTTAGAAATTACTGAGCTTTTTTTGACAAACCTTTGGCAAGGTGATGCAGGTTTTTGTTTCATTTATGCATTCTTGCGTGTTAGTTTTGGGAAATGAATTGTACATGGTATGTACATGTATACTACAATAACAGTACTTTCTTTCTCAGTTTGAAACTTTGAACTGCAATGAATAAAAACAGGACCACAGTTTGTTGTGATTGGCTTTTCTGGATAGGGTTAGTGCAGATAGTACCGTCATAGTAATACTATGCTCAAATAGTGCCATGATCTTAAAGTGGTAATAAACAAGAAACTACTAACTTACAAAGACTAAAAGCCAGTGAAAAGTTTAGCCACCCAACATCTGCTTGGAGAGTAGATAGCCCCAAGGTCAAACATGGCGAGAATATACTAGTAACATCATGGTGAAGGAAGTCATTCTAGCTCCGGATCCTGGTTTTAATAGAGCCGCAAAGAGAGTCCACGCAATCCATGATAGAACTGGATATCATGGCTGTGATGAAGTTATACAAGTTTATATACAGCTTACCAGTTATCAAGGTGAAGTGCATGGATCAAGAGTGGTCTCTAGCAGTTCGGTGAAGTACTGCACCATAAATGTTAGCTAAGCTACGAGGCGTTTTTGATCCATGGGGATTTGTACACCAAGTCCCTCATAATGTCAGATTGGCTAGTAGTACATGTTTCCCTTAATTGGCAATGATGACAATGGACAGTTTTTAAAGAAAAGAACTTGACCGAGGAAATGTGTCAGAAATATAAATTTAAGCTGGATTTCATTCTGTCTAGAAAAAGTAAGAGGTTGGCTTGATAGCTAAAATTCTTCCCAACAAAAACATTGCACTTGGTACTGTCCATCATTTTGCTTTGTCCACTAGGTTAATAAGAAATGCCCTTCATTGTTCCGGATACTCTGTGTTTTAAACTGCCTAACAATCACTGTTAGCCATTTACCTGGGCCACTCGACATGAATGAGATGCAGGTGAGGCATTAGGATTAGTATGGTTTTCTTTTTCCTGACACAGGTTGTAAGACATATAATATTACTCTAATTACCAGTATGAGTGTGAAACAGTATGAGGATGATGCACAAATTAATGTTGACATGGAAATCAAACTTTAAATATGCTTTCTGTTGGGTGTTTTAGAGCAGCCTACATTGTATCTGGATTTCTCTGAAGATTTTGTTCTTTTTTACTCCGTGAAGGAGGTCAGGACCTCCGGACGGAGTGTTGTGATCGGCTGATTTTTCGTGTTCGCAGTCAAAACACTGGGTTCTCTTTGTGTAATCGGCACGCAATTTTATACGCCGTCTGCGGGCATGCCCGTGTTGATGCACGAATGTGTATTATTGCCGTTGCTGCTTTCGCGGTCAATGTAATATTGCAGACGCACCCCTACAATTACGAGGCGAATTGGAATGGTCCAGAAAAACGCGTTGTTTGGAATAGCAGTGGGGGGGTGGAACTTCATGCAGATACGGGGTAGTTTTGATAAGTGGTTCCAGATGTTTTTGCCCATGGTTAAGAGATGCCAAGTTTTTTGGAAGATGTTCGCAGCCAAAACGCATTCTTCCGTACGTCGCTTTTTTGTGTAATTTCGCATATGGTGTGGCATTATGTCCGGGATGATGCACGTCTTTTTATTTTTACCGTAGCTGTTTTGATATTGGAGTAAATGGTTATTTTCGAAACATCCCCATGTCGTTGAAATGTTGTCGTCCGTTTATGTCACCGGTAGTAAGTCGCGGCGGGGCTGATGGGGACGGAAATGTGGGGTGGTCAGAGGTCAACATTAGGAAATGTTAATACCGATGACGTAATCCTATCGATTTCAAACTGGTCGGGTGTGGCGACCTAGTGGCGGCGTGTATTTAGTCACGTACTACTGGCCGGTCGTCCTAGCAACGACACATGGCCAATATTTTTGGGTTGGGCCGCTCCATAGTGTTAGTTGTAAACATGGACAATATTTTTGAGCAACCCATCAATGTGTTCTGCCTCGTGGTCGGATGTGGTCTGGGGCTGGTAAACCGCACATACAGTACTAGTAGATCGGGTAATTTTATGATTTGCTAGTTGTAAAGGCGTCGTGTAGTATGAGCCGGTATATGAAGAAGTAGCCTGTGTTACACAATCATGCTTTTGGCCGGATTGATATGCAACTGTTACTAATTGCAGGGACTGCGCTAATGCCGACCAGTCGCGCTGTCCTGATACACCGCGAATGTGCGAGTGTTCCCTGTAGACAGTCCCGGGAGTCATTTCTTTCGCACATTCCAGGAGCCAAACCAAAATACGTTCATGAACCGAGTCCAAAAAACCGAAACGTGAAAATCGGATGATCGGACCTGATGTACATTTCTCTTTCTGTAGATTGTACACACATATACACACATCTTTAGATAATCTGGCCATGGCAGGTAAAAAAAAAAGTAACCCTGAATCATACTAGATTAGCGTAAATGCATGTTTATGCGTTCAAAACAAGAAAAGAATTTGTTTCCCAGTATTAATCTCTTGAAACACGGCGCTGAATATTGACGCAAAAATATTTCGGGCATCGCGCGCCCTTCCCCGACTGTATGCAAATCCCGCGTCACGTGTCGGCATTTCGCATCTCTGATTGGTTGTTGCGTCTTAAGATGACTGAGCCGACGCGCATTTAAACAATTTTTCTTTGTTCGATTTATCACACTTCACAGAGAATTGTCGCCAATGGCTACTTCTTTTTGTTGCAATATATAATACTTCACGGAGAATTGTCGCCTATGGCTTCTTGTTTTTCCCTTCTTTTAGGTTGACTGTACATTATTATCTGCTGGTTTGAATGGGACCCAGTTTTGATCAGGTCAGAGTTCTGCTCATTATCTAAAATCTCTGTAATTCACTTTGTCTTCATGGTTGCAATATTTTACAGTTTGAGGAAAATGGGCATGTATGCAAATAGTATGGCAACCAGGATACAATTCATTTAACAGAAAGGTACCACATGTTGCCCATTTACCAGACAGCACCAGACAGGATGGAGGACCTGTTTGCCGTCCTGCGTGACCAGTTCCTGAGTTTTAAGACTCCGCCCCTAGCCCGGCACAGACTCCTGCAGCTGATTGAGCATCGGTCAGGCGGCTGGGAGATGGAGCCTGGGATACTAGACTACTACAGCAGGTCTGGCAAGGAGCTGAGAGGAAGAGGGGAGGTAAGGAAATCTGTTTCAAGATTTCTACCCAAATAAGATCATGATACTTATTGTTGGAAAATGTTTTATTGCAGAAATAGAAATGGACACTTGCAACACAGCAAAACAAAATTGCAAGTGGAAAACAATTTACTCAGTCTTATGTTATGCACAATGTTTCTCACTTAGAACTTGCCTGGGTTTTATTTTTTTAGTGAATTAGGAACAGTAGTGCAGGATTTTCATAGTGTTTTCCAGTCTATAGTTAACATATAAAATGAGGTAACCATAGTAGAGTCTAGTAATCCCCCAAATCTTGGTTATCCATAATATCCACACAACTTCGCAACTTGAGATACTCCAACATTAGTAACAATCAATTATTCACTCCATATTTTATGTATTCCCTTGGTATATTATGTTTTTAAACATAATAAACTTGGTTTATTATGTTATTAAAAGAAAGTACTACGTAAGTCACTCCAAGAAGACAGGTCGCAAAATATATGTACATGTACAATACATGTACATGTACAATAATTTGAGCACTCTAAAACATAAATGTACTCTCAAGATCCAAACCTTAATCACCACACGAAGTTTTATCCAATGCTACACTTCAAACTTTTGAAAAAGAAATCTAATAAAACAAATCTAATAGAAGCCACTTATCTCTTATACAGAATGCTTTACTACTGTAGTTACAAATATTTAGAAATATCACTGCATAGATGTATTACAAATTTGCCAGCAAAAATGATTATGTTGATATTCAAGTATAGTATATATAATATATGATGTTAGTATGATGCTTTTTGGTTGGCTTATGAGAATTGCATCACCAAAGCATATAAATAATTTTTTATTGAAAATATGCCAGACAATTTGTCACCTTTATATGTTCATACTAGTATTCAAATTGTCCATTATGACAAACAATATCTACTATTAAACAAGAGTTCCAAGACCTCATTAGGCTCATACCTCCATGAAATATGGGCTTGACATGTAAATTTAATGATGTCACTCTACATTAAACATAATAAAATAATGCACCGTGATGTTAACCTTTGATTAACTTACACATGTTCTAAGTATGAAATTCCCATCATTTACAACTAGGGAGTCATAGAATTTTTTGATTGATTATGCAAATTAGGTCCGTATTTGCATAATTGGTATCTGGTGATATTCCTCCTGCCATAGATTATAAACATTACATGTATAAAGTCACATGACGTAAAACACTGGAATTACACAATTTCCTCATTAGTTATGCAAATGAAGTCATCATTTGCATCCAATAATGTAGATCTCTGTCGAAGCTACCCACATACCAAAAATCAAGAAAATACATGTACATTGTTCCTTTTTGAATTGATCTGCTCTGAAAGGTTTCACCAGAAACCCCCCAGCAGTTCCAGAACAAGCTGCTAGGGGGACCAAACCCACACCAAACAGTACCCGTGCAGTTGCAGCCTTTATATGGCGGAATTGATGCAGGGTATCACATAGTAATCAATACAAATCACAGCAATCAAATAACACACATATCACATTTGCCGACGACTGTCTATTGTATGTAGAGCTTTCTACACAGACCGACTCACAACTTCTCCAAAAAGACCTGAACACACTGGAAGAATGGCAAAGCAAATGGCTCATGCAGTTTAATCCCGAAAAATGCTACATTATGCACATAACAAACAAACGAACACCACATGCAACTAGCTACCAGTTTTGTGGTCAGGCTTTAGCAACCACAAAAATCCATCCGTATCTGGGCGTCACGCTGACAAGCGGACTGAAGTGGGGTGCACATGTTAATAATATCACAACTAAGGCGAAACAGACATTGGGAGTGATTAAACGTAATCTGTGGGCATGTCCAACTAGAGTAAAATCACTTGCATACACGTCACTTGTAAGACCAAACCTAGAATACGCTGCGACAGTATGGAATCCATATACAAAGAAAGACAAAGACAAATTGGAAGGGGTACAGAATCAAGCTGCAAGATTCTGTATGAACAACTATGTAAGAGGTGCTAGTGTCACGGAAATGAAAAGAAACCTGGTACAGTGGACCTCACTGGAAGACAGAAGAAAGATGTCTAGACTATGCATGATGTACAAAATGACTAATAAACTGGTGGATGTCCCAACTACTAAGTACCTAATACCAGCCCAGAAGAGAACAGGAAGTAGCCACGCATTCAAGTACCAGAGTTATCAACCAAGGATTGAGGTGTTCAAGAATTCATTCTTTCCTAGAACTATCGCAGAGTGGAACTCACTGTCACCAAGTACAGTAGGGGCATTGTCAATAGATAGCTTTAAACAATGTCTAGAGCTAGAAGTTCAAGGGTTAGGTGTAACAAGTCGATCGGTGTAATATAGCCAGCTGCCGCCGCGCCACGTGCCTGCGAAGCTGGTGTGTTACGCCGAAAGGCGGTTATACCGGCTATACAGATACAGATACAGATACAGACAGATATCTGTCGCAAGTGTCAGTGTGCGGCTGCCATTCGGTGCCGCAAGGTGACTTCAATACGACTTTCCCCAACCGAAGTTACATGTACGTACCCATATTCACACCTGGGTGGAGTGAGAAACGTTGTGTTTTGTGCCTTTCCCAAAGGCACAACGTCAGGGTGCATTCCCCACTTCATAGTCAAACGCTCTACCACTATGCCACCTGACGCCACTGTTATTACATGTATACTGAAATTGATTCCAACACAAGGGTACAAGGATCAAATTTTCAATGACCACTGTTGCCTTCATCATAATAATTAATGACCAATCACTTGCAAACGTAACCCACAAGAGTTACAAACACGTAACTATCTGTAACTCATGAATACTTGTTTTGTATACCGGGGTATGGTAGAATGATGATACCAATGAAATTTTACTAGAAGGTTTGCAATCTTTTGCCTTAGTTTGTAGCCTCAAAAGTCCTAACGTTATACTTCGGTAACCATACTAACTACAGACACATCTTGTACAGGAAGTCTGAGTTTTGGAGTACTGTACTTAGCACCCATCTCAATGACAACTGAAGCCAAACTGAACTCAGTAAGAGCTTTCTTGATCTGAAGCCATTTTCTTTCATCATTGACATCTTTGGACAAGTCAGCATAGGTTGAATTACCGATGTCGCGGTATTTGTTGGGAAATTCAAAATTTGTGATTTTGATTGAGATGAGGAAATCCTGTACACTGTAGCCATTATCAGCAGCATAGCCCCTTGCAGATTTCAAGTCATACATGCAATGGCCACTGGCAAAGAATGACCTAGACAGAACTGCAACCACTCTCCTGCTGTGTTTTATACATATGTTTACATTGTCAAAGATGTCTTTACCAAGCTCAAAATGCTCCTGGTGTTCACAGTACTTGATGTTGTTGCTGATGAAGAAGGGGATCAGCTTGTTGTACACAATGTCTTCATCATCTCTGCTGTAGATGATGAAACAGTCGTATGTCCTTGGCTTCAGTGGTCCTGAGGAAATAGAAAAGCAATGATTTTGAAATGAATTATTTTTTCAATTGTCATCCAAAACACAGTGGATACCCTGACCTACACAATGTATTCAAATGTCGGGCTATCTCTATATACATAAACCATGTTCCTGGTAACAGAATCATTGATAATACTCGAGGCAATCAACACACATGTACAGCACATGCATTCTGTGTCCAGTCGGGTCTATATGTTGATGTAGCTTCAGCTCCCTGCCTACCTTCCCCCACCTTCATCCATTAAGTAATTGGCCTATTTGTTACATACTGTCTGATACAATGTAGGCCAACATTTACTCTGGCCTATACATTCATGTGTCACCAAAAAAGTTTTTATTTTATTTTTTCAACATTTACTCTGGCCTATACATTCATGTGTCACCAAAAAAGTTTTTATTTTATTTTATTAATAACTGTTTATACCTACCTTCTGAGCTGCTGTTACTGGCTTTGATCTTTGCCTCCAGTTCTTTCACATGTCCATCAATAGATCCAATAAATTCTGGCCCAGCATCAAAGGATGGCTGTAACACAGTTAAAGTACAAAGTGCCAATGTGAAGTCAGAAATGTCAATATTACATGACGTCCAACCCTCTTGGTTAAACCTGGCATTTTTTTACACTATCAAGTTTACCTAGTAAGAGTATTACAATGTATATGCTATCACGTGTATCACTGACAAGCTTTCAATTTTTTTAGAGTTCAAAATTATACAAGTGTGTAGTAAAAATGGGTGCAAAGATAGTGATGATGGCCAGCATGTACTGCTCTAGATATCTTCATAAACTTCTTGTCTTTTCAAAACTACTGTATTTTGTTTATAGACTTTGAAATATCTACTACATGTATTAGCTGCTGGTCATGACTATGTTTGATACAGTTATGAACATTGTTTTTATTATGACACCCCACTGAAACATCAATCCCAAGTTAGATATTGTCCTTAACAACAAAGTTTGTAATAAACATGTGACAGTTATACTATGAAGTACCGGTACATCAGATATTCTATGAGGGGGTAAACTTACATCTATTTGTGAAATGATGTTGACTGCACAAGTCTTAGAGTGACCCACCTAGAAAGAAGCAAAGATAATAGCTTGCATTTAAGATATAACATCAAGTATGATTCATTTCAAAATATGATATTCAAATTTGTTGAAAGAATATTTGTTTTTCATTACAAACTATTACAATGTAACAAGACCCTGAAGGGCCACTTCAAGGTTACAGGTTACATGCGTAGCTGGAACAGCATCAGTCTCTTCCCTCAATTATAGTATAATTATATAAGTTAACATATTCAGAAATACTATGCTCGATTGAAAGTTAGGACTAACTGACCCAAAAAGAGAAGTAAAGGCTCCTCCCATTCCCTGCTCTGAAGGACATTCAATAACATTTGTTTGACTTGATTTGACTACTTGACACATTGTCAAAACTTACCCTATTGTCAACCCTCGAGCTCACATCTGGAGGTCCTGGAATTAATGGACTGGAGGCTGTCTGAAATATAGAAAGGATTGATGAAATCAAAAGGTTTTGATTGGAATATTTGCAATGTAACATACTACATAATATTTAAATATACTGTAATTCACTTTATGTTCAGGGTAGCAAAATTTCACTGAGAAAAATGGACATGTTCACAGAACTATATATTCACTGTGGTGACAGGTGCAGGAAAAAGAATGTCCAGGAATTATTTGTTAACTGTAATTTATTATGATAAGTTCACGGTAAAAAATTGACAGTGAAAACAGTGAGCATATCAGTACAGTAAAAAATCAGGGATTACAGTATTGCTGGCAACAGAGATTATCATTGCCCCATCCAGGATGTACCGGCATGATGTAAATTTTGTATCATGACAGTAATGAGACACAACATCATTAATTAAAAGCTTCAAAAAAGAATCAAAGTAGAGACTACTGCAGACCTCAGTCTATCATACACACCCAATTCCTGATTGCATGACATTATTTATGTCTTTTTATATAACTCACAGGTACTAGGAAGAGTAAAAGTCTTGCAAGACAATAACATCCTTTGACCGTGGAGACATAAGAAAATTATTAATTTCAGATGCCGTCTGACTATGTGTGCAGAAATACAGCTCACTAATAGAGGTACCGGTAATGCCTGCATGGGCATAATTGTTTCCATTTTTGTCATAATGGAACCCTCATCCACGTACATTTATGATTTTTTATATTTTTATATTATGATTCCAACATGAACATATGCTACACATGTACATACATGTATCATGTACCAATGTGCTAAATGCTTGCATACAGGTACAGTGAACGCCAGTATGGTTCAAATATTTTCCTACCTTTTCACTCTGTGGGGGTGGGGCTTCCTTGACATTACCCCCAGCAACTACATTCATTTGGCAACCTGTAATAGAAATCAAATTAAAATGTAAAGGCAGCAAGTTGCAGGATTTGGAATGGACACACATTTCATAGAAGAGGAAAGACAGTTTGGGCTTTCTTAAAGTAATATAGTTGTACCTTTTCAAGTGAGCTGTACCTATTCTACATTTTTTACAAATGACAATTCTGGATGTTATTAATCTACATTTGGTTAATAGTCATACCACATAACGTTACATGTACCTTCCTCTGACTTTAAACAAGATGATGGGCAGCTTAGCATCTTGACTCAGCATCTTGACTCAGCAGTATAGACTTTAAAAAATTTTCTTGCAAACTCAGAGACTTAGAATTTACATCTTTGTACAATTGTGTCAATAGCTTAACTTACCGGTACATGTACTTGCAGTAGTGGTGCCAATACTGAAGTATTTTCTGTAACAGTGGGAGAGGAGTAGGACCAGAAAGCCAGCAGATGTACATCCCCAGAGAAAGCCAGCTGCAATATCAGCTTTAGACCGGTCATGGTGGGCTTCTGATACTAAAAAGAGTAAATTATATGCAGAAAACATCCATTAGGTGAACAGTAGTGAAGTCACTAAATGTAACATAAAGAAAGTACAAAATAATTTCTTCATTTCAGCATTCCGAAAGAGCAACTAAATTTTAAATTAGCGAGTTTGAATGCATCCTAGATCCAGCCAGAACTACAAAAGTATTGTAAAAGCTCAAAGTTTCAATGTAGGCTATTTTTTATCCAGGAAAGACAACATTGTCATTGCCTAGAAGACATTTTTCAATGTGTCCAAAAAACAATGTAAAAACAAAACTTACCATCAGTAAGGAAATTAATGACCCAACTATCTAAAATGATCTTAAGATGATGACAAACTAAGGCTAAAAACAAACAAAACTTTACAGTTGCTGTAGTATAAACATACTTGTTCTTTCAACTGTCATGTTGAAGGTGATGTTTCCATGATGTTTCAACTGTATGCACTCTCTCCAGCCATGATAATGGAGACAGAAGTATGTGTAATGGTGATCCTCAGGTATGTCCAGTAGAAGGCTGGTATTCAATGGTGTTTGGATGCGTGGATCTTTATCTGTATTATGTAAATATATTGAAAATGTTTATTTGGTCAAAAGACAGTGTCACAACTACAGCCTCCCAGTAGTGGCTGAAATGCTATTGGGACATTACAGGAGGTTATACATGAAAAATCCTCATCATTTCCAAGTACAAAATGTACATATTGACTTATGATGCAGTTTCACTAAAGACATTTGCATCACTAAAACATATCTGAAGTCCAGCACAAGTGTCAGTGTTACATGTTAAGCAGGCAGATTATGAAAGGTAGGGCACTGTTCTATTATATAATAGTGGTCTTTATGATGAGAAGCGTTCAGTTTGTAAGATGATCTAGTTTGTTGGCCACTGATTTCACCTCTAACAGGTGAGTGCTGAAACTGTTCTGATTGCCTGAGAGAGTTTGCAAAGTTCTTAGTAGGTCAAGGTGTTGTGACTGAAGGGTTACTGACGTAGTCCCAAGTAGGAGCAGCACCCATTAACATGTCAGGCAATGCCATTAATTCTTGCATAAGAATATTCAGTGCTCACTGTTGATAGCATTGCAGGTATTTACAATCTTGAAAAGCATGATAATGATTTTACAACATCTGGCTGGTAAAAAGTCCATCAGGTGACTATATTTATTACACATTTCTCTTAGAGCCTTTCAAGACTCATTGACAAATTGGCATTGAATTGTTACACAGAACTGAAAGTATTTGTACCTGGTTGTGGCATCCATATGTAAGCGAGTACCATACTTGTTATACAACCTCCCATTAACAGTACTGAAAGGAGCAACAGGGCCCGGCTGCTGTACTTGATGCGCCTCTGTCGCAGAGTTGTCCTCTACAAAACAACAAGTTTCAGTGCATGATGTTATCTAATGGTAAATAGACAAACATGTATAATATATGATATTTAAGGTGCTAGACAGTTGGTATGGTAGGAATTTTTTGCCTAGTCTACCAGAATTTCTTACCAGTTTTGCCAAATGCTAACAGTGCTCAATATGAAAAGGGTGGAAGGTCTGGCTCTCATAAAGACTTGCTATTGTCTACCTCTCAATTTTGACCAATAGGAAAGGACCTATCACCAGTACTGCAGAGTGTGCTGTGTGCCTGCAAAGCTGGTGTGTTTTGCCAAAGGGCAATTACACTGTAGACGGGCTGTACCCTGTCAAATACCAAGATGACTATCATGCCAAGTTTACTGTATTTACAATGTAGTTTAAGACAGTTTCTGTCAGATAATCCAAGTATAGTTTCACTGCACACTGTAGTTAAAGGTTCTGTTGCAAGCATTCAAAAGGCAATCATCTTTGCAGGGTGAAGTACGTTATATGTGGCAGAGAAGCTCTGACAACTAACCGAATGTTGTTTTGCTGTGAACGGCATGTTGAAGACTGTGGTAGAGTAGCAGGTGTGCTCAATGTCAGCCTCAGACTACTGCAGAAGTGCTTTGAATTTTCTACTGCGTATGTCCTAATGCGTACTTTCCCATCAGGCCTGGAAAGTACCGTGACGTCATTGTTTGTTTTGCTTTCTTAAGTCACAATGCCATCTGTATCATATTACACCAACTGGGTGTTTACCTTGTTCCCCAATGACAAGGTCAGGTAACAGGTAGCAGGTGAGGGACTAGACACATGTAGGTACTTAAAGAGAGTGTGTATTAGCTTAAATGCAATTCAAAACTTGTGACAACTTGTTTTTACATAAAAAACACCAATTTCATGACATTTCTGTGATTGCATCTTGCTTGATTGTTGTTCTTAAACTTACAAATGAAAGTAAGTACAGACTGAAGTAATATCCCATTGTTTACTCAATGTGTTTTTCTCTATTTTCTTTCTTTTTTTGCCACAGCCAACACAGGTTCCAGTATATGGAGGTGCAAAGTACCACCTGCCACCTGATTTGAACTTCAAATTCTGCAAGTAATGGGTATACTAACAAACCATGCATGGGCAGACCAGAGAAGACAGACAGATCTTCAAATTATGTTTCCTTCAAGCTAGGCTCACACTGTCCAAATGTATTGTTCAAAGAAAGGGACAACCCAAGGAATCACTTGCCTAATTGTACATGTAAGGCTGTTCAACTACACGACAGTCTTCTTCTTCTTCTCCTTTTTGTCTTAGCAGACGCTCTGCTCAACGTCGATGGGCTCGTCCGTACAGTCTAGTACATTTCAAATACACATTACTAGGTATTTTACTGGATGTAGAATGACAGTGCCATTCTGTTGAATATTGCCATCTTACAGTGTGACATTCTGAGAAATACTGTTTGAAGGTGACAAAAGATTTTCCACTTCTTACAAATAAGTAACATCATAATACAAGTTAGAGTCATATTGTAGCATATTGGAAAGAATTTTGGCAAGTACAACTCAAAATATCGGATATTGAAAGCTCTTCAGTCTGTTACAATTTGGGAAGACTATCTTCTCTGTTGCATTTTGCGTCCATAATTTTCTTACTGGGTATTCATTTGTCCATTCCTCTTCCCAGTTTCCCAGTTTACATTCCAGTTAATTTACACATGAAGCAGAGAGGGTTATATACCGTTATACTATGGGCATTATGCTAAAAAGATGTTAATTACTACATGTTACAACATGGCCAAAGATTATTAGACAATGCCTATGGCACAATGTTAATGTCATTGAAATGGTGGCACCAACAGCATTATTGGCTATAAGATAATGCCTTTAGTATATTATTCTGTAAAAACTTGAGATGCTTTTGTTTGATTATTGTGTTGATAATTTCTTTAAGGTAATCATTGTTCATTAAGTTTCAAGTAAATATGTTGACTCAGTTGACATAAAAGTCAAAGGTAGCCATAAACATTATTGTCACATGACTACATGTACATTATCGTGATGTCAATGTATAAAGTCAATCATACATCATGTTTAGAAAATGGAACCTGACAAATGTTACCTTATTTTCTTATGTTGCACTTATTTTATAAGAAATGTTTTTGTAGAGTAGCAAAGACTTCACATACTGTTATGCTCTGACTACATTTTGTGTTCATATCTTTTTCTTAACATCACATCTATGCACTTTGCACAATGTCAGTTAAAGTAAATCAGGAGAAGTTAATTGAATTTGAAATAATCTCAACTTACTTGTGAGCGGGTTGCCAAGCATGTACATGTAGAATGTAATAAACTATTTCAGTGAGCAGCATAGATTTTGCATAGTTTTGTTGTTGTTTTCTAAACTATTGTGCATTTTACATTGGAATTATTATAGTATTATTTGATCAGTATACATAATTATTATTTTGATGAGTAGAAATATTTCCAAGGTATACCATCACTGAAGAAATACAAGTAACAAGTTACTCCTATTACTAATTATCATATGCAGCTCTGTTAGCAATATTAGACAAAACTGTTGTAATTTTGTTGTGTGACAACTTAAACCCTTGTCCTGCGGGGCCCATATATATATGGGTTGCATATACAGTACCATCTATATAGTGCCCTGTATATGTGCGATTTGGGGGTGTTTCTCGTGCAACGCATCACACCGCAGCGAAACGCAACGAATGCGGAAGTAACTACGCCACCGCGGGGCAAAAAAACTCAAGGGTCTGTGACCTGATTAAGACATGAAATTATTTGAAAATATCGTGTAAAAATTGCCAGCAGGACAAGGGTTAAGTTAGTTGCATGAGTTGTTGTTTATAGAGATATCTAGGGATGTAGACCGTCCCATGTTTATTGGTTCTTGAAAGTTTGTAAATAAAGTTTGTTGTCCAGTTGTACAGTTATGTTCTGTGTCATCATGTGAAGTTATGTTTCAATCAGCCAATTACAATGGGGCTAGGATCTTATCTGAAATGTGTAGGCTTAAATAACCCAGCTTCCCGAACAATTTATTTAACAAGCTTCATAAAGTATACTAATATCACTGCTTTTACAGTTCCAGGTCACATACATGTAATAATGATGATGAAAAGCCTTATGAGTAGTTGTAATAACAGTGGTCTTTAAAAAAGACACCGGCGACGTGAGTTGTTATGTTTATTGAGTGTTTTGTGCATGTTGTATATATATATATATATATATATTCAAGTGTTTCATGTAAATAAGATCCCAATTTGTGTGATCGTAATATAATTATGTCAAGCATTGTTTAAGTTAAGTACATACCAAAAGTTGTTTTTATGGATTTGCCACCACATAGTGGCAAAGTCATATTGTTTTTGCCCTGTTTCTTTTTTTTCTTTCTTTAATTTGGCATGAAGGTAGAGTGACCCAAGCTGTGTCTAAGGAAAAATATTTTTTAACGAAAACTTTTTTTTAAGAAAAATATTTTCTGACGAAGAATATATTCTAACGAAAAATATTTTTCCACGAGAAATATTTTTTCACAAAAATATTTTCTCACGAAAAATATTTTCTCACGGAAAACATTTTTAACAAAAAATTTTTCTAACAAAAAATATTATCTCTCGAGAAATATTTTCTTAAGAAAAATTATTTTCTAACAAAAAAATTATTTCCTCACGAAAAATTTTTTTTCACGAATGATATTTTTAACGAAAATATTTCCTCAGAAAAAAATATTTTCTCACGAAAAATATTTTCTAACGAAAAATATTTTCTAACAAAAAATATTTTCTGACGAAAAAATTTTTAACAAAAATATTTGTAACGAAAAATATTTTTAACGAAAATATTTTAACGAAATATATTTCTCACCAAAATATTTCTTAACGAAAACATTTTTAAAATATTTTCTCACCAAAAATATTTCTTAACGGAAACTAAATTTTACCAAAAAATAATTTTTGACGAAAATATGTTCTAAGGTTAAAAAATAGTTTTGGTGAGAAAATATTTTTTGTTAAAAAATATTTTTCATTAAAAATATTTTAGGTGATAAAATATATTTCGTTAGAAAATATTTTTCGTTAGAAAATATTTTTCGTTAAGAAATATTTTTCGTGAGGAAATATTTTTCGTTAGGAAATATTTTTTGTTAAAAAATATTTTTCGTTAGAAATCATTTTTCGTGAGAAAATATGTTTTGTGAGATTTTTTGTTAGAAAATATTTTTCGTTAAGAAATAATTTTCGTTAGAAAATATTTTTCGTTAGGAAATATTTTTCGTTAAAAAAT